CCCTCTTCCTTGCGTGCATTCCCCCACCCCGCCCACCCCCACAACGTGGCCCAGCCCGATAAGATTCTATAAAAAGAAACGCCACAGTTCGAGATTTAGCCCACACTCGGCGGCCATATTTGATCCCCACCGCGGCGTACTGCTCGTGGCACCGCGAAGAGAGAGAGGAGGCTCCATTAGTTCTAAACTCCTTGATTTTTCCACAGGTTTGTGAATTTTTTTTTCTAATTTTTGTTTTTTGACTCAACACCTTTCATGCCCATTAAAAAACCCATTTCTGTATGGATTTTTCTGACAAACGTTGATTAAAGGCACAAAAAATGTACATTTTCAGTTACTTCGTACTCTTAAGCTAAGGAAATAACTAATCTTTGGTGGGCATTTTCTCACTAATCTTATCCCTGAAAACATATGACCCCCACCCCCTTCATTCGCAATTATCTCGGCTTGTATTCAAGATAAATGGATATTTTTTCACCCAAACAAAGACAAATGAACAAACTTTAAGATGATAAAAATAACTCTACACGCCCAAAAATTGACGAGAGCCTGATTCCACCACGCTGCCTCACAAATGATTTCTCTGGTCGTCGATGAAAAGATACTCCTTTTGAAGTTGGGATTTGTCTTTTTTTAAAATGGTATCACTCACTTAGAATCATAAAAATTTGTATTATAATTTTAAAAAAAAAGTATGCTTTAGATCACTTTCACTCATTTTGCTAAAAAGAATATGCTTTCAACTCTACAGATGAACACTGGAAAAACATTCGAACTGTGGTGAGTCCAACGTTCAACACCGTCCGACTAAAACGCATGTTCGCCCACATCAAGACTAACGGTCAGCTACTGGTGAAGTACCTGGAGAACAGACAGGAGAGAAACGAGCCGGTGGAGCTAAAGGAGGTCCTGTCTCGCTACACCATGGATGTCATCGCCAGCACGGGCTTCGGCGTACAGAGCAACTCTCTGGAGGACGACGGCAGTCCTTTCATGACCGAGGCCAAACGGCTCATGAGTGGCCCGGGCTTCTTGATCATACTCGCGTTCTTCTTGTCCTTCCTGAAGCCGATTCTGAGACTGCTCAATATCAGTAAGCTCCCTCGTCAGTCTCTCCAGTTCTTCCGCCGGTTCGTCGACGCCGCTGTGGAGAGTAGAAAGGGTGAGGCTGGAACGGTTCAGTCCAGAAATGATTTTCTTCAGTTGTTGATGGAAGCCATGCACGACAAAGACGGAGAGGATGATAACATGACGCCGGAAGAATTGGCAGCTTTGAACTCCAGCGGTGTCAAACGGAAGCTAAACTACGTAGAAGTTCAGGTAATTTGTTATATTTGTTTTGGGTTGTTTTTTTTTCTTTCTTTTTTTTTGGGGGGGGGGAGGGGTGTGCAATCTGATTACGATTACATGAATTTTATTGGACTTCAGAGAACGCCTTCCGCTGCCACATTTGGCATTGTAACACGAAAGGTTTTTTATCTCTGTCTGTCTGTCTGTCTGTCTGTCTGTCTGTCTGTCTGTCTGTCTGTCTGTCTGACTGTCTGTCTGTCTGTCTGTCTGTCACACCACAGCTGCTGCTTACTCACAAACACGATGCTGCTGGTCCCCCCCTCCCAATCTCCCTCCAGGCGCAAGCTCTCCTGTTCCTCTTGGCCGGCTACGAGACAGTGTCAGCCTCTCTGTCCTTCACCTTGTTCCTCCTAGCCTTGAACCCTGAGTGTCTGCAGAAAGCCCAGGAGGAAGTGGACGAGGTGCTGCAGGGAAAGTTCCCGGACTATGAGAGCACCCAGTCCCTGCACTACCTGGACATGTGTCTGAACGAGGGCATGCGCCTGTACCCCCCGACCCCGCTGCTGGACCGTGTGTGCAGTGACGACATTGAAATCAGAGGCATCCGCATTCCTAAAGGAGTTAATGCTACATTTCCTGTGGTAAGTTCTGTTACTTTTCTTTTCTTTGTTTGTTTTTTGTTTGTTAGTTGGTTGTTTTGTTTTTGTTGTTGTTGTTTTGTTGTTGTTTTTTTGGGGGGGGGATAATTTTACCACTTTATGTGTATTTTGTTATATTTGTATTGTCGTTTTACCACTTTTTGTTTACAACATAGTTTGTTTGTTTAACCCCCAAAAATATATTAGATCTACATAATGCAGAGATCAGAACTGAGCATTGACATTTTTTAAACATTTGCAATGAGCTTAACTCATCTGAAAACAGAAGATAATGACAGAGAAAGATACTGGTTTGAAACGTGTGTTTTGTGTCAATAAAAAAGGCAGTTGTAGTCGCAACTATTTCCTTGAAATCACGACCACTACCCCCCGCCCTTCCACCCCGGAAGCCATATTCCTCGCGTACCCTCTGACAATACATGTACTGACATGAAAAGATAGTGTGAGGCAGCGTGGTGGAATCAGGCTCTCGTCAAAATAATCAAAGTGTAGAAACTTGCATTTTTCCACAGGTTTGTGAATTTTTTTCAAATTTTTGCTTTTTTGCTCCACACCTTTCATGCCCATTAAAGAACTCATTTCTGTATGGATTTTTCTGGAAAACGTTGATTAATGGCTCAAAAAATGTAAATTTTCAGTTACCACGGACTCTTAAGCTAAAGAAATAACTAATCTTTGTCGGCCATTTTCTCACTAATCTTACCTCTGGAAACAGGTGACCCCCACCCCCTTCATTTGCAAATATCTCGACTCGTATTCAAGATAAATTGATATTTGTTTCACCCAAATAAAGACAAATGAACAAGCTTTAAGATTATACCAATAACTCTTCATGCCCAAAAATTAACGAGAGCCTGATTCCACCACGCTGCCTCACAAATGTTGCTGTGTATTATTTCAAACCACACACAGTGGTAGGCATAATCCTTGCACTCTGTGATTTCTGAAACAAGACGTTCAAAAAGCAGCCTCTCTTTGTGTTGTTTTGGTAAGTGTTTTAGTAAAGTAAACCTTTACGGCGCTCTCAACTGCAAAAGAGCCTCTCGTTCAAGCATCTGCCAAAATTGTAAAACGTTATTTTTATTTTGTGTCGAAGGGGGCATAATTAAGAAACCTATAATTATAATCAAATTTTTTGGAGCATGAATGAAATTATTTTCTTTTTAAAATTACGTTAAAAAAAACAAAGAAGTCTCTATTTCTTGGTGTGTTGATTAGTTTTTGTTTTGCTTGTTTATTGTGTTGCTGTAGTTTTTTTACAAGGGGTGGGGCCAGGGGGGGGGGTGTATAAAGTAACTATAAAGACTTAACGTGTAACAAGACAAACGGATAGATGATGAAAAGAAAGAGTGTATAAAACGGATGACCTCCCTTGTGTGTTCCCGCCAGTGCGCCATTCACCGTGACCCTGACCTGTGGCCTGAGCCCGACAAGTTTATCCCGGAAAGATTCACCGCGGAGAACAAGGCCAACCGTCACCCCTACGCTCACATGCCCTTTGGACAGGTACATGTACTGACACACACTCACACGCACGGACACACATACGCACTCACACACAAACACACCCACACTTACATACACTTAAAATCATATTCATATACATAAACATACTCACACAACCATCCATCCATCCATCCATCCATCCGTCCGTCCGTCCGTCCGATTGGCGGGTGCTATGGTGTGGTTTGCTCCTTCTTTCCTATCAAACATCTATCGTCCTTATCTCCCCTTTTGCTTTTTTATGTTTGTTACTCTCTTGTAACACCTCTAATCTTCTGGCGCTCATATGACCTTATGCAGTTGCGAGTGCTGTAAAACCTCTACTAAAACTAAACTAAAACATACATACATACACACATACATACATACATACATACATACATACATACATACATACATACATACATACACACACAAACACACACAAACACACACACATACAAACGTACACACACACACACGTATAGATCTGGCTGTGTGGTTGGTTGGCGGGTGCTCTAGTGTGGTTTGCTCCTTCTTTCCCATCTGCCGTACTTATCTCTCCTCCTTTTTGTGTTTGTTACTTTCTCGTAACACCTCTAATTTTCGGCACTTATATGACCTTACTGTGTTCCAAGTACCTGTACTGAAACTAAAAAGACCTGGTCATATTGAACAGGACCAACTCAATGCTTTAGATTCCACCGCACTACAATTGAACCTGCTCAGACTGCAACCTGTCTAAGACACTCAATGTTTCAGATGACACCACACCTGTCTAAGACACTCAATGTTTCAGATAACACCACAACACACCTGTCTAAGACACTCAATGTCTCAGATGACACCACAACACACCTGTCTAAGACACTCAATGTCTCAGATGACACCACAACACACCTGTCTAAGACACTCAATGTTTCAGATGACACCACAACACACCTGTCTAAGACACTCAATGTCTCAGATAACACGGTACCACACCTGTCTACAACACTCACTCACTGTTGTAGATAACACCACACCTGTCTAAAACACTCACTCACTGCTTTAGATAACACCACACCTGTCTAAGACACTCAATATTTCAGATAACACAACACCTGTCTAAGACACTCAATGCTTCAGATAACACCACACCTGTCTAAGACACTCAATATTTCAGATAACACAACACCTGTCTAAGACACTCAATATTTCAGATAACACCACACCTGTCTAAGGCACTCACTGCTGTGTATAACAACACACCTGTCTAAGACACCCAATGCTATAGATAACAACACAACACACCTGTCTAAGTCACTCAATGCTTCTGATAACACCACACCTGTCTAAGACACTCAATACTTCAGATAACACCACACCTGTCTAAGACACTCACTGCTGTAGACAACACCGCACCTGTTTAAGACACTCAATATTTTAGATAACACTACACCTGTCTAAGACACTCACTGTTGTAGATAACACCACTCTACAGTAGAACCTGCTCAGACTGCCCCCCTGTCTTGAACACTCATCTGTACATACAAGCACTTCTCACCCACACCTCCCCCCCCCCCTTTTCCCTTTTCGTGTTTTTTTTTGACGTGATACTCCCACCTGTCAAAGACAATTTTGTTTTTCCTGGACAGTTGAAAGTTGTCTTGTGCAGTTTGAACTGTATTTGCTTTAAAGACCTCCTTCGTAAAAAAAAACATGTAGCCTAACGAACACACAAAACATCATCAGAATACTAATTAGACTACGCTGCTGCATACATGTACAACATCTTTTGTTTTCAAAGGATACTGCCTTGAGAGTCAGTTGCTTTTTTTAGTGTGGGGGGAGGGGTGTAAGAATTTATGGTACTTGCAACGCGGTAAGGTCATATATAAATGCCGAAGATTAGGCCTAGAATAAGTAGTAGTAGTAGTAGTAGCAGTAGTAGTAGTAGTAGTAGTAGTAGTAGTAGTAGTAGTAGTAGTAGTAGTAGTAGTAGTAGTAGTAGCAGTAGTAGTAGTAGTAGTAGTAGTAGTAGTAGTAGTAGTAGTAGTAGTAGTAGTAGTAGTAGTAGTAGCAGTAGTAGTAGTAGTAGTAGTAGTAGTAGTACTGGAGGAAGTAGTAGTGG